GGTCGACCGCAGAATCTCTGTGGCAATGCGATTACCATCGATGAAAAGGAGGCAGCTTGTAGCAGAAGAAACTTGAAGTAAAGAAAGTGTCAGCAATGGCTTGTCTTTACAACTCGCATATCAAGGAAAGAACAATGCACAGCAATCCTGAAACACCATAATCTCTATGTGATGCCCAAACATGACAAGTGCGTCGCAGCTCAATTATCTGAAGGCTGTTATGGGGTCGATGCTCATCTCACTGGTAACCATGATCGACTGGGTGCTGATGATAAGCGTCAGATCAACAGCACAATCATTGCATCGCATCACCTGGCACTCACTTAACGATATGTTGTTTTAGATTTAAACCCAATCTAGGAGGTTTAAAGTCAGTTCTGCTTATCGACTTGCATCCCGATCATGCCTGAGCACACGCCTATGTAGCACTCGCATTCTCAGTCCACTGACGCACCTGAGTTCACGGACTGCCGAACCCGTCGAACTGCGTAGCTTTAGGAGCAGTAGCCGTGAAGGAGTTGGTGCGTTGGGTGCGGACTGCAGTCGCATCCCATGCGCCGCTAAGAAAACGCTAGAAATCGACTATCCGAGTAGCTTGAAGGGTCCGAATCGCACCCGTTAGGTTGATAGAAAAACGGAAAGCGACACAATTGAGTGGTCCGTTGAAGCTATGATTGATTAGGAGTTTCTAGCTCGGTGGGGAGTCATTACGGATAGGAAAATGCCATGAGGCGTAAAACACTTGCGCCATTAGAAACAGCTGAGTATTGTTCCAACACATTCGAAGCACGGGTACGCGAAATAAAAGGTAAAAAAGTTGCCATCAATTCTCCGAAGCTTCTTACTAGCGTCCTACTATCACGTGGCCACCAACGGTCTCGTGAGGGCTAGAGATGCTGCGAGGTCACCTGAATCGACGACTGGTGAATTACAGTCCAGAAGGCAGCCATCGCCGCCAGCTACAGAGATGCTATAGTCCACAGTGAAACAATATGGTAAAAATAGGTAACTGACCCACTTCTAAGCCCTCCACATTAAACGCTAAGTGAAAATTGCGTAGGGTAGTTCGGTAGCAATGATATTTGACATCGTGAGCTCAATTGCATGAATCCACAAATGGAATGTTGAGGCTTCGCCTCCAACTTTCGATGAAATCTTGTTGGCACTGACGCTTGTAAGGTGGGGTACAGGTTGCCCGTACCAGACAGCTTCCCTTTACCGCCATTTAAACGCAGAAGTTACCTGCTATCCGTTGGCCTAGGAGCTCTATACAACGCCATATTGTGTGCTGAGGAAATGGCTAATGTCGTAGCCTCAAAAAGGCTGAAAATGTAGGTGACAAACATCGAAACATCAGCTTCATTGTCATTACCTCTGAACTGCTCCCGTGTGCTATGGCGACTAATTGGCTTTCGGTACAGTGGAACCGGCAAAGGCTAGCTTGGATCCGATTCCATTAGGCGGTCGTTTATCATATACCCTACCTATACTGAGTTCTGGAACTGGGTCGCTCACGTCGGAGTGATACAGTCAAACCTAAGGTGCCCACTCAAGGGAATGACAAAAAGTGGTTGCTTTGGACAGGTAGTCGCCATAGACAGGTTCACGCATAGGAACGTTAATCATAGAAGAAAATGTTGGGGATATTTCTGACTGGTCGCCATAGCAGGTTGAACTGTACTATGATCGTCTTTCATGCCCTGAGGCCTGCTGTTGATTCCGTCTAACACGACCGTAGTTGACGCCGTCCGTCGCTGAATGACCGCACCCGGTAGGTTCCTTTCTACTCCGAAAGTCGTGCACTCCGACTTCCATGATCAAGTAACCATCACTGGTTTCGACAAACGGGCGAGTTATGTCCGCTCACAGACTTGTAATTGAAAAGACCACGAATGCTTCTGTTTAGATTGTTTCAAGTGAAGTGGAAGGGCTACCACACCATTGACTGACAGGTTAGAATACGCGGATGATATAGCTGTCACTAGATAAGATAAAAATCCTCTCCAAAGAATTCGGAGCAGAAAGATGCGAAGCGTTGCAAGTTTCGATATGTGTATCGCAATTTCCCGGTTGGTGAATATTTTCCGCCCAACAACTGATGAACTGTTGCACAGTCTTTTGAAATCAAGCAACCTACGTTGAAGAGGTCACTTCTTTCGAATACTAATTGATCGCCTTTCATGCACCTGGTTGAATGATGACCTGAGGTGACCAGTTGATGAGATCGAAAAAGCATCAAGACTGCCGTGCACATCTTTTTTCTAAGCTAGAGTTTTCGGATCGACCTCGCTAGTGGTTAGAAATCACTTACTAAGTTAGCGGCACTCTTGTGCATAATTTAATGCATCTACTGTTAACATTTCCATCCAACCATAATGCATCTTATCACTTCCTTTCTGCATGCCTGCATCTCTCTTTTCTACATTTTCCTCAATCGCTGGTGGAACCTGACTCATAGTACACGGAACTGGTTTCGATGGACCGAATTTGTGTCAAACAATTTGGCAGGTCGAACACCTGGAATACGAAACTAACTGTGATGATTGAAGAGACCATGATTACTCAAATGTGAAGTAACTGCCGCTAGATTTGGGGGGGAATCCTAAACCCCCCACCCTTCGACTAGGTAATCTGATCCGACAGTCAGTCAACGGGCACCATGGGCTCCGGTATTGCGTTGGGAAAATATCAACGACAAACTGGCCACCGGGAGAATCGAGAACACAAATATGAGGGATGGATATAACAAACTACGGTACTCATGCAAACGCGTCCGACATGTGACATCGCATTGCTTCTAGAAAAATGGGCCTCCTCGGAGACACTCGATTCTCTATCGTATTTTGAGCAGAAAGGTGGACGTGTTTGTGATCATTAAACGTACACAATTCCATCCGTCTGCTGCACATGTGTGGTGCACACGCAGTGAGTGGCGTTCGGCGAACACGACAAGAGATGAACGAGAGCAAGCGCAGACACACCTGCCTACGAAATGCGGAATGCGTACTGTGCCTTAAAACAATGAAACACCGACGTTCGCAATCCTGGTCCACTTAACTGCGTCAACCTGATAGACGATCAATGGAAAAATCAATCGTTATAAAGTGGACAAAACTACGTCGCGCAGGTTGCTTGGTGCACACGAGTGCACCTGGAGGTGTTTCGGACACAACAAACCAAATGGAGTGATAGAGGCTAACTTATGGTGACATTTTGCTGATCAAATGTGGTCAAGGAAATGTGAATAGGCGACATAGGTCGCAGTGACAGTAATACGGTGGAAACTACACCTCCGACGCTGGTAACATACGGTTTGCAAAAGGCTAATGATTCGGTTCGAATTATCAGCTATGATCCAAAAACAGTGTGGAGGGAGTGGGGTTGAGTTGCCATAATTCACGTCACAATGACAGCGATAATGATTAATGACGGCAAGACACCGACGGTCCCTTTAAAGCACGTTGTAAGGAGAAGATTCCCATGGAAAGTTCAGCAACTAGAAGGGAAACCGGCGCCTAGCATTAGACCTCGGTTGGATAACTGATGAGGCCGATCCTGTGGCTTTAGCCACAGTGACGACAAGTACACTAATCCAATTCAGCCTTCTGACCGACTTCTACAAACCCCCTTGCTATAGCATCAGCAGTATGTACAAATGCGCCTTCTTCGTGCATACTAAGGTTTTAAAGTTCGTCGATCATTCCTCATCGAGGGAATCCATTAAAGTCACCTATCCGTCTTAATGGCAGCCATCAATACTGGACTCTACAGAGCTAGCACATCGCCATTCCGATCTCACTGATAAGCACGCTTAACTAGGCAGATGATACTTGACCTAGATTACCATACTAATTCACCATCATCATTTCACGTTAACTAAGGGTGAGAAACACCTCAATTACCGTGCCACAATACAAGATGACAAGATTTACGAAAATAACGAGTTACAAACACTATATACTACAATATAAAAACAAAAAACAAGTAATATGATGCTCAGTATCATACTACGCGATGGCTGTGAGATTTCTGTTGCATAAGGAAGGTAAGGGGAATGAGGAGAGAAAAAGAAACTCATAACACAAATGCCACTGAGGTCGGCTCTTCGCCATGTCAATTAGTGTCCCTGTGACCCCAGACCAGCAGTTGTGAGACACCAACTGACGCCAAATTCGAAGTGAGGGCCTTTATTTCTCTTGGTCAAGTCATCGCTTGGCCTCTCCTCCTCTTCTTTCTTTCACAACTCCGGCGCGTCCCAGGAGTCGGTATGCTGACATGCACAACACGTGGCCCAACCATCGGAATCTGGTGCATGAAATAACAGTGTTGAGCGGTTCACTCGCTCTTCCTGCATCAAATACGCGACGCCGAACATGCTCATTATTCCCACCAGACATGAGCTAAACTGAGGAGAGGGCGATTGTCGAATGTAACAAGCTACGCCACACTAATTGCTTATAATACATCTTCAAGAGCAAAAGCAGATTGGTTGAGAAATATCGAGAATGCACAACGAGTTATCGTCAGGCGATCAGCGTGAGAATAAGGCAGCATAATGCGTTCGCTCGGCCTGATGTTCTAAATCGTTGCACAAGACCTGTAACAAGCGGCTGCTCGTGAAGTCAATCATCAGGGTTCACTCTAGCATACTATCCAGTACATAGAGGAGAAATATCGTAAGTTTGGGATCCAGGAGAGGAGGTATGGACGTTTCGAGCAAGATGTGTCTTGTTAAGAATGTCTCTGTGGTCACTAAAGACAGAAAATGGATGCATAAATTCGAATACAAGTTGACCGAAAAAAATGGTGCGCATCGGAAAGCGAGAAACTATATGGGCAAATTGTGATTGATGCGGACGATGGATACCACTGCACCGACTAATCATGTGTGTACGTTATATCTGCGCAAACGTGTGGCTACAAATAAAAGCGAGACAGAAAATAAAATCGGTTTTCATGTGTTTGTTGGCTACAATCATGAAATTTGTGAATCCGCTCACCGGACAAGGTCATCCATAGATAGTACGTTTGGATACGCCTCTTCCAAGCGCATTTGGATGGTCTCCCGCACAACTTGCTCCGGTGGACGTTTGTCTCGCTCTGCACGATCCCATTCGACGCGTCCAGGGAAAAATCGGTGCATTGGTAGATTGGAACGCCGCATCCGCGCATGACACCCGCATGGGATGGTGAAACATGCGGAAACGCACAGAGGACAGGGACAATCGGGGAAGAGCAAACAAGTTAGCCGGTGGAGTAAGTTAAAGCTAAAGAGCCTGCTCGACCGTACCATTGTGACGTGGCCTTCAAACACACCACTTGAACATCACACATACAAATGCATGTTCTGTTACTGTATGGTTTACGGCACCGATTGACATTGTCGGAATGCGTCCACATTAGTAGGACCACATCGATTCCAAACGAACCAATCGCAAAACGTGGACAAGTTGGCTAAAGAGTTGTAAACGTGATCGCACACGTAATGCACATCGAATTTGCGTCCAAATCTACGAACCGATATGCGGCATGCCACGCACACTGCAAGAGACATGATCGCATGCACTGTTAATGACCATAATCGTCACGATGCGATGCAAGCCGAACAGCCGCAATAAAAACCATACAGTCGTCTGACATGAAGCTAACGGCTAAGCACAGTGGGTTGGTGCCACCACCCTTAGGTATCGTCAAGCAGCTCTATAGCAGTATTGTAAGTGAGAGAAGCGCTGATGGAGTGGCAATGGGTTTGAAATGATGTGATATCACAAATAGCCATCGAAGAAGAGAAAGACGTATCAACCGATATACCGGGTTGAACAATGACTTCAGATGCGACAGGCGTCACACAAATAAAATAATAATAATAACAATAACAATGTGTCAGCTACACGCCGTAACGGCGCTTCGCTGCCGTGCGACCACCACCAGTCGCGCGCGGGCTGAGTATACCGCGAGGACGTCCACCCCTATGCGGATTCGAACCGCACACAAATAGCTCTATAGAAATGGGTTGATACACTTACCGACGTAGAATGTTCAAGGCTAGAGATGATGATGATGCACATACTACGGTTAGTCGCCTCAGTCAAATTAAACTTTGTCTAACCGCAAGTTTATCTTACAGACACGTGTGTTGAATGCGTGTTGCTTAAGATTTTCTTAGACATCGAGACCTACTTTAATGACGGGTTACAAGCAGCCGTTGTTTGATTCTTGTTTTACAGCTGCTACATGAGTAGAGTTAACTTTCACCAAGGAAAGTACCGACGAAACTTGACCGCTGGATTTTGGTGAACTAAAGTCGACAGGTGTGCTCTTGTGGCTCTGAACGCACACGCTGCCGACTCAACATCCGCCATAACAATCCATGTAAATTAGTCTTGAAAAAGATACGTCGGTATGGATTAGGCCGCATCGGACAACATTTGACCAAGATTCAAGTCATTTGGAAAACCAAGATGTAAACTGGTTAACCCCCACTAACTGAATTTTGCTGTTTACGGTGGTACGAACACAGACCCATGTCAAGGGTGTCGAGCAAACTCTGTTAAGTGGCAAACACACAGCACTTTCACTGCATATTTAGAACCAACTCCAGATATAACAAAACACCTATTTGTGCAACAGCTTATTGCAGCTTGGTCGCTTTCATAGTGATGTCCTAGACCAGACTGATTCACCTTTTGGTGAGGCCCTAATTGCACCTGTATTAGGAATGTTACTATTTTAGCAAGTCACTGGAGCGGGTGCAACTCCCAAGGGGATGGCATCGCCAGCGGTTCTGCTCTACGCTAAGAGTTGTACGCATTCCCATACATAGCTTTAGTTCAAGAAGGTTGCGCTCGCAGTTGAACGCGTCAAACGCCAATTGGCGGATTCCAGTTGCTCTCAATCTATGTCCTACCTGTGTTGGCACTGGTGGTTAAAAAGAGCGAACCTCTCAAAGAGCGCTGATCTTGTCTGATACACGCAGTACCACTGATGAGCATTTGATAAGTATTCCCTTGATGGCATGAGTGAGTCAATGGAGTGCGCTGATCCCGTACGAGTCAACTGCTCGCAGATCGCACGTAAGCTCTGACGAAGTGAATTAGATCTATCATCTCTGGTCGTTATCACGACTGGGGGGGGGATACCGTCACTAAAACCCATCAAGACATAGACGATACGGAATGAGAAACAGTTGGCTCAACATAAGTTGTGTTCCCCACTCGCGTGCTTACTGATTAGAGTGAACAAGGTATGTGTGGCTAATGCGGACGCGAAAACGATACCTAGTTCCGATAATGGACGCTACCATACCAAATGAGAAGGAAAATGACGCAGCACGATCGACGGTCAACAGGAAGCAAAAACCCACACTATCGGTGGCATTAGTACTCGGCTGAATGCGAAGGAAACTGCAGGAGCCGACAAATTCTCTACTAACCGCGCCTAATGTGTTAAAGAAGAGTTGGAGAGGGAATAAAATCGTTTATATTCGACATCTATTTCTGCGCGCAATGTATACATTGTAAGCCCCTCAGGAGTCTGAACGTGTAAGCAGTCGGACAGTCTATCGACGTCACTTACGCATGGCTCCGTGTCTTAAGTCACTGCCCAGTAAGGAGGTAACTGTGGGTTCGAATCCGTCCGGATTGGAGTGACATGCGCCATGCAAACTAGTTCACAGGGATGAAACGGCCACCAAGTGCTTTGCCGCATAGGTGGTAGCTGTCTGATTGAGTCTGGTTGTGACGAAATTGCTCACAAATCAGTAACAGACCGGACGCGAAATCAGTCATCCGAGGACTGCGATTTCGACCGCCACGTGAACTAGCGAGCATTCATTTCACTGGTCAGTGTAGGCGGGAATCGATAAGGGTGAGAAAGCTGACAAATGATGCATACAAACCGCGGGGTGAGACGCCGGTGCTCATATGTGTTATCGGTCGATGATTCTGGAGTGGCAGACTAGAAGGTAAAGCTTTCGCACAAGCGCAAACAGCTGGCCCCAAAATCGCTTAGTAACTCAGCTTCAATGGTCTGCTTGAGAACGAACGCTGTAAATCGTTCACGCGGATTTTCATGAAGCCAGTGGATCACATAAGTATGCGAAAAAATTCCGTGAACGAGGTATCGTGGGGGTGAATTAGTGTTTACAATTTGACCTGTCCTATGGACTATAGTCGAGAAACTAGCGATACAACAACGCAAGTTTCAAAAATCAGAAATGTATGCACGAGCAAGCTACCACGTGTGGTGACCGATTACGCTCGTAGGTCGGACGAAAAACAACAACAAGCGGTCAAGTTAGTACACCGTGGAACTATGTCAATGTAACTGCAGTAGTACGTGTTCGTTTGAATTAGAACATCAGTTGTGCTAACATGGCCGCATGGTGGCCCTTGACAATGTTAAATCAGGTAGCCAAAATGTGATACGGCCAATAAAAAACGTGGAGAGAAAAATAAATGTGATCCTTCAAAGGTAATGTACACAGCAAGGCAAGACTTCGAAATGTAGTCCGCAGGAGTTTGAACACGCGACCCTAACATTTCTTTGCAGACCGTTTAAAGGTGTAGTGTTAAACAGAGATGCCACCCCGGTACATGAGCAGCTAAATATCGTGTAGAGGTCCATACGCCTACCGTATCGGAGGAAACCAACGGCACTGACGAAGGATAGGTTTAGCTCGGTTTAGTTTACCAACGCCGAGGTGTGTTGGTGGAGCCACCTACTACAATAATAATAATAATAATAATAATAAATAATAATAATAATAACGATTCTGTTACGGGAGGAGGAAATGGCAAGATGGAATAAGTAGCAAGAAGATACGAACGCACGGACGCTATTTGACACAGTGACTGCATCACAAACGATCCCGAGGGTCCCACCCAGGAAGACAACCGCGCAGCACATGACTGAATCAGGAAGGGCGATTCAAGCTCAACAGGCAGTCTATGATGAGGCGCCGGAGGGTCTGTTGGCAAACGCCATGTGACGAACTTCAGTATTGCTCATTAGGTTCTTCCACTAGACATGAGGAAAGATTCACAGAAACCGGTGGCCGAACACCGGCCAGCTAACTAGTTCATATAGTAACATTGGCTGTGCCACCGCGTTGCACATCTCCCTAATATTAAGTTGACGACGTCCCACGGATTCCATAAGTAACAGGCGCTGAAAAGCCACACGAGTCTAACAACAATGCGTGCAGTAACCTCGTGGGTGACACAACCGCCAAAGATGACAGTTATCCAAATAAGTAACCCAATTGATAATTTAGAGCGGCCATCCTATGACTGCAAGTACTAGGGGCGCGTCCGATCAGCCCCGCAACACCGAGTTGCACTCTAGAGGTGCAGAGCACCTGACAGCATTAGTGCTGGCCTGGTAATCAGGTGCGATCCGACTAAAGTTTGTTCATTCGCAAATTAAATATTCCATATTTAGTCACCAAACGGAGTTCGCACTGAAAGAGAAGTGTGATGGAACAAGAGGGAATCATTCATGTTCAATTTGATCACGATGTTAAACAGCAGTCCTGTTGTCGTGGCGAAAGCAGGGGGTCTCCCGTAGTCCCTTACACGGCCACGGGGGTCGCGGTAAAGATGTTACAAGATCTCAGTCGCCTCATTCAAAGCTGGGTATCGCCACAAACAGACGCGATCGACAGAGTTGAAGGTCATTTTAAAGTCAATGAAGAGTATAACGATGGGCTTTGGTAAGTGTATAGCGATAATGAAGCATTTGTGGAAGAGTAAAAACGCGGTCAGTGTGCTCTCTGGCAAGAAGGAAGCCCGCTTGACTTTCAGTCATCTACCTCTCACGAGGAACAGTAAATTGCCACAGCATGACCCATATCAGCAGTTTGCAGATGAATTAGATCAGACCCGTATCCCAGTGATCTTCATAGGACACCCATCGGGCGCTTTGGAGAGGAGAATGACGGCTGAGTGCTACCAGTAGGATGGCACTATTTCTTTGCTCCACTTGAATGTGATCAGTCGTATACGTAACCCCGTCCACTCTCCATTGAGGAATCTAGTGGTCCGGGTGCAGCAACGAGCCGATCGCGACGTTGTCGTAAAGACCATATATTTGGTCTGACGCAGACTTTACATCAGTGGCACACATACCCCAAGCCAAGTATAACCGTATTCCTCAACTAAAAGGGCACGCTCGAATCAACAGACCGCTCCGCTCCACTTGGCAAATGTGATACAAAGGGTGTGTCATAGAATAGGTGAACAGTTCGCGCACTATACACTCGTGGATAGAAAAGGCTGTGCTATAGTGCCAAGAAGCTTACAACTAGTAGTTATATTCAATGAAACTAACATGTGTCGCAACCCTAATGTACAGACTTAGTTGTTTGCATTGCTAGACACTTGGAGGAGATATTTTGCGGAGATTCCCGATTTTCGGTTCTGCACATGCAACCAAGTCAAGTTCCAAGGGGAGAAAGGAAACACAGCTACGTAAGGCGAAGCACTGTTTAAGCATACGTAGGCATCAGCAGTACGCCGGTACGTAGTACTGACGCATCGCTGCCACACAACTAACAATAGTCGCGCGTGGGCTAAGGATATTGCGACTTCCCTTACGAAGACTCGAACCCGTGACCGGATTACTAAGCAGGCATGTGATCCATTCGGCCACTGGCCGGTAAAGAACAGAATATGATGACGTATGCTACACAAGGGTGATATCCTCAATTTATTTTGCGTAACCTGAGACGGAATCAGCAAACATTTTACGCTGTCTACGTAGTAAGGTTT